GCCTCTTCGCTGATTGCTACTAAGTCCTCTCTCTCCCTGCCCCATGAGCTCTATCATACCTCGCCTTAAAACTATGTATGGTTCCCGCCTCCACTACGTCACTTTCCATGGCCTGACTACTCTATGACTGAAGAAATACTTCCTAACATCCCTTTGATTCATCCGAGTCTTCAACTTCCAATTGTGACCTCTTGTGTCTGTGTCCCTTCTCTGGAACATCCCGTCTTTGTCCACCTTGTCTATTCCGCGCAGTATTTTATATGTCGTTATCATGTCTCCCCTGACCCTCCTGTCCTCCAGTGTCGTCAGGCCGATTTCCCTCAACCTTTCTTCGTAGGACAATCCCCGTAGCTCTGGGACTAGTCTTGTTGCAAACCTTTGCACTTTCTCTAATTTCTTGACGTGTTTGACTAGGTGTGTGTGTGTATAGGTGTCTGTGTGTGTGTGTGTGTGTGTGTGTGTGTGGTGTGTGTGTGTGTGTGTGTGTGTGTGTGTGTAGGTGTGTATAGGTGTGTGTGTATAGGTGTGTGTGTATAGGTGTGTGGTGTATAGGTGTGTGTATAGGTGTGTGTGTATAGGTGTGTTGTGTATAGGTGTGTGTGTATAGGTGTGTGTGTATAGGTGTGTATGTGTGTAGAGGTGTGTGTGTGTGTGTGTGTGTGTGTGTGTGTGTGTGTGTATAGGTGTGTGTGTGTGTATAGGTGTGTGTGTGTGAGTATAGGTGTGTGTGTGTGTGTATAGGTGTGTGTGTGTGTATAGGTGTGTGTGTGATATATATTATATTATATATATATATTATATATATATATTATATATATATATAATATATATAATATATATAATATATATATATATATATATATATATATATATATATTATATTTATTTATATATATATATTTAATAATTATATATATATATATATATATAATATATATATATTTTTATTATAATTATTTTTATTATTATCACACTGGCCGATTCACCCCCCAAGGCAGGGTGGCCCGAAAAGAAAAACTTTCACCATCATTCACTCCATCACTGTCTTGGCAGAAGGGTGCTTTACACTACAGTTTTTAAACTGCAACATCAACACTCCTCCTTCAGAGTGCAGGCACTGTACTTCCCATCTCCAGGACTCAAGTCCGGCTCCCGGTTTCCTGAACCCCTTCATAAATGTTACTTTGCTCACACTCCAACAGCACGTCAAGTATTAAAAACCATTTGTCTCCATTTCACTCCTATCAAACACGCTCACGCATGCCTGCTGGAAGTCCAAGCCCCTCGCACACAAAAAACCCCCTTTACCCCCTCCCTCCAACCTTTCCTAGGCCGACCCTACCCCGCCTTCCTTCCACTACAGACTGATACACTCTTGAAGTCACTCTTGTTTCGCTCCATTCTCTCTACATGTCCGAACCACCTCAACAACCCTTCCTCAGCCCTCTGGACAACAGTTTTGGTAATCCCGCACCTCCTCCTAACTTCCAAACTACGAATTCTCTGCATTATATTCACACCACACATTGCCCTCAGACATGACATCTCCACTGCCTCCAGCCTTCTCTCGCTGCAACATTCATCACCCATGCTTCACACCCATATAAGAGCGTTGGTAAAACTATACTTCATACATTCCCCTCTTTGCCTCCAAGGACAAAGTTCTTTGTCTCCACAGACTCCTAAGTGCACCACTCACCCTTTTCCCCTCATCAATTCTATGATTCACCTCATCTTTCATAGACCCATCCGCTGACACGTCCACTCCCAAATATCTGAATACATTCACCTCCTCCATACTCTCTCCCTCCAATCTGATATCCAATCTTTCATCACCTAATCTTTTTGTTATCCTCATAACCTTACTCTTTCCTATATTCACTTTCAATTTTCTTCTTTTGCACACCCTACCAAATTCATCCACCAATCTCCGCAACTTCTCTTCAGAATCTCCCAAGAGCACAGTGTCATCAGCAAAGAGCAACTGTGACAACTCCCACTTTGTGTGTGATTATCTTTTAACTCCACGCCTTTTGCCAAAAACCCTCGCATTTACTTCTCTTAAAACCCCCATCTATAAATATATTAAACAACCACGGTGACATCACACATCCTTGTCTAAGGCCTACTTTTACTGGGAATAATTTCCCTCTTTCCTACATACTCTAACTTGAGCCTCACTATCCTCGTAAAAACTCTTCACTGCTTTCAGTAACCTACCTCCTACACCATACACCTGCAACATCTGCCACATTGCCTTCCTATCCACCCTGTCATACGCCTTTTCCAAATCCATAAATGCCACAAAGACCTCTTTAGCCTTATCTAAATACTGTTCACTTATATGTTTCACTGTAAACACCTGGTCCACACACCCCCTACCTTTCCTAAAGCCTCCTTGTTCATCTGCTATCCTATTCTCCGTCTTACTCTTAATTCTTTCAATAATAACTCTACCATACACTTTACCAGGTTTTACTCAACAGACTTATCCCCCTATAATTTTTGCACTCTGTTTTGTCCCCTTTGCCTTTATACAAAGGAACTATGCATGCTCTCTGCCAATCCCTAGGTACCTTACCCTCTTCCATACATTTATTAAATAATTGCACCAACACTCCAAAATATATCCCCCCCTGCTTTTAACATTTCTATCTTTATCCCATCAATCCCCGGGTGCCTTACCCCTTTCATTTTACCCACTGCCTCACGAACTTCCCCCACACTCACACTGGCTCTTCCTCACTCCTACAAGATGTTATTCCTCCTTGCCTATACACGAAATCACAGCTTCCCTATCTTCATCACACTTAACAATTCCTCAAAATATTCCCTCCATCTTCCCAATACCTCTAACTCTCCATTTAATAACTCTCCTCTTCTATTTTTAACTGACAAATCCATTTGTTCTCTAGGCTTCCTTAACTTGTTAATCTCACTCCAAAACTTTTTCTTATTTTCAACAAAATTTGTTGATAACATCTCACCCACTCTCTCATTTGCTCTCTTTTTACATTGCTTCACCACTCTCTTAACCTCTTTCTTTTTCTCCATATACTCTTCCCTCCTTGCATCGCTTCTACTTTTTTAAAAACTTCTCATATGCTAACTTTTTCTCCCTTACTGCTCTCTTTACATTATCATTCCACCAATCGCTCCTCTTCCCTCCCGCACCCATTTCCTGTAACCACAAACTTCTGCTGAACACTCTAACACTACATTTTTAAAAACCTACCCCATACCTCTTCGACCCCATTGCCTATGCTCTCATTAGCCCATCTATCCTCTAATAGCTGTTTATATCTTACGATAACTGCCTCCTCTTTTAGTTTATAAACCTTCACCTCTCTCTTCCCTGATGCTTCTATTCTCCTTGTACCCCATCTACCTTTTACTCTCAGTGTAGCTACAACTAGAAAGTGATCTGATATATCTGTGGCCCCTCTATAAAACATGTACATCCTGAGTCTACTCAAACAGTCTTTTATCTACCAATACATAATCCAACAAACTACTGTCATTTCGCCCTACATATCTTGTATACTTATTTATCCTCTTTTTCTTAAAATATGTATCACCTATAACTAAACCCCTTTCTATACAAAGTTCAATCAAAGGGCTCCCATTATCATTTACACCTGGCACCCCAAAGTTACCTACCACACCCTCTCTAAAAGTTTCTCCTACTTTAGCATTCAGATCCCCTACCACAATTACTCTCTCACTTGGTTCAAAGGCTCCTATACATTCACTTAACATCTCCCAAAATCTCTCTCTCCTCTACATTCCTCTCTTCTCCAGGTGCATACACGCTTATTATGACCCACTTTTCACATCCAACCTTTACTTTAATCCACATAATTGTTGAATTTACACATTCATATTCTCTCTTCTCCTTCCATAACTGATCCTTCAACATTACTGCTACCCCTTCCTTTGCTCTAACTCTCTCAGATACCCCAGATTTAATCCCATTTATTTCCCCCCACCTAAACTCCCCTACCCCCTTCAAGAGCTATTTAGAAAAAGGAGAAAAACCTAATGTATGTATATATATATGCATGTGCGTGTCTGTGAAGTGTGACCAAAGTGTAAGTAGGAGGAGCAAGATATCCCTGTTATCTAGCGTGCTTATGAGACAGAAAAAGAAACCAGCAATCCTACCATCATGCAAAACAGTTACAGGTTTCTGTTTCACAGTCATCTGGCAGGACGGTAGTACTTCCCTGGGTGGTTGCTGTCTACCAGCCTACTACCTACCTATATATAATGTCGTGCCGAATAGGCAGAACTTGCGTTCTTGGCTTAAATAGCAACGCTCATCTTGCCATATAGGACAAGTGAAAATTTGTGTATGCAATAATTTCGCCAAAATCATTCTGAACCTAACGAAAAAAATATATTTCACTGTGTTTGTTTAGTATTAGATTACTGTAAACAAATCTAAAATATATTTAGTTGGGTTAGGCTAAAATAAATTGCGCTTGTTATAATAAGGTTAGGTAAGTTTTCTAAGTTCCTTTTGGTGCAAAGTTATAAATTTTTACATCAACATTAATGAAAAAATATATCTTTAAACGTATAAGAGAAAATTTTAGAAAGGAGTTAATTTTAAATGAGTTTCTTGCTAATTGACCAGTTTTACATATTCGGCACGATATATATATATATATATATATATATATATATATATATTATATATATATATATATATATATATATATATGATAGCTGTAGGCCTTTCGTGTTGCAATCAACAAATCATCAGAAGCTTGCAACGATGCAGGGAACGCCTTTGCTCCAGCAAGGGCCTTAATTTTCCCTCCTTTCGAAGCCTTGCTCCTAAAGACAATTTTAATCGCTACATTAGCCACTAATATGCTCTTGACTGGTTGTGAGCAGGTACCCTGCTACCTTAACTATAGCCTAAGAGCTCGGCTTGAAACTCAACACCAAAAAAAAAAAAAGTCTTTCCAAATTAAAACACATGTAATACTCACTTTTTGGCACCGCTTTTGAAGTCATGAGAAAATTAATACAGGCGGCACCTGTTCCATGACCGAATATCGTGACGTTGTCAGCGTCACCTCCGAACTCCGCTATGTTCTCTTTGAGCCAGTGTAGCGCCGCTATCTGGTCCATCAGGCCGTAGTTGGTGATGGACCGTAGGTACGGGTTCTCGTTAGTGTTGAGGAAACCTGCGGTAAGAAGAGGGTGATTGTTAGTGTTGGGGAAACCTGTGGTAAGAAGAGGGAGACTGTTAGTGCTGGGGAAACCTGTGGTAAGAAGAGGGTGATTGTTAGTGCTGGGGAAACCTGCGGTAAGTGGGTGATTGTTAGTGTTGGGGAAACCTGTGGTAAGAAGAGGGAGACTGTTAGTGCTGGGGAAACCTGTGGTAAGAAGAGGGAGACTAGGAAGAGGGAGTGAAGGAGGAAGCTTTGCTAATCGAGTTTTTGGTCTTATGAAACTGAGAAACATACCACAGAACACAAATACTATCACAACGAGGTAAAATAACGAGGGGAAAGGAGTAAGGGAAGGAAGGAGGCAGGACGGGAGGATAAGGAATGGGTTTGTTATGGAACAAAGGATCTACTTTTCCTTCTGGTTGCTGAGTCCTCTTCAAGTGATGAAGGAAGAGAGGCAGTAATAAATAGTAACTAGTGAAGGAAGAGAAGCAGTAACTAATGATTGTATAGAGGCAATAATAGACTGGTACAGACCTACCAACACAAGGGCACTGGTAAGCCAGCAGAAGGCCTCTCTCAGATGACCAGCAGCTCCAGCTGCGGATCATCATATGACTAAGACCCGCGTCAGGAAACACTTGTCCTGTTTCCTAACCAATCTTAACTAACCTCAGGGTAGGTACAGTAGTTCCACAGCGGTGAAGCCCCCCCCCCCCTCAGGGTGTGTCAACAGAGAAAAGAAGCTTAGGAAAACCCGAATCCCTACGAAGATTTCTCACTCATTATCTACGAAAACAAAAGAAAATGACAGGCGTCGCAAACACGGAGAGAAAAACAAAAGAATCACTCGAAGCAACGAGAAAGAATCAATGTAGAAATTAAAGATTTAGATTAAATTTTCCTGTCGAAGTTGCTAGTTTATTGTGCTATCCACATCCATCCTGTGGATGGATATGGATACACAAAAGACCTAGGAACTAGGCACCAAAAAAGGCTTTAGGCAGGTACATTTGGATTTAGATCTGCAACTATTACAAGCCCATTCAGGAAATTTGCTTAACATATCTGGTATCTTATTTTCATTACTATCTTGGCAATAATACTAATAATAATAATAATAATAATAATAATAATAATAATTTCTCATAAGGTTACCTAGTAGGCAGAAACGAAAAGATAAAAGTGGGATAGAAATGAACATAAATCACTGGGAGGCGAGAAATTAGATATTAACCAAAAAAAAGGGTCTAGCAGTGCACATTACAACGAACTTATTACTGGAATAACACAGTGATTTCGGCAGTATATTCGAGGCTATTACTCTCATTACAATCAAAACTAAGCGTTAAACCCACAAAAATATGCAAGGCTAGCATATCTCAGGAATCTCAGAGGATTCTTCAGGACTTTGTACGCAAGATATTTCAGGGTAATCCTAGATTATGCAGCCCCAGCTTGGAGCCCCCAGCTGGTTAAGCATATTGAGAAACTTGAAAAGGTGCAAAGGCATGCAACTAGACAAGTCCCAGAAGTAAGAAGTGATGAATCATAGAGAGAAATTAAAGCATTTGAACCTGACTAGTCTGACAGAGATGAAGACATTAGGTTTTGTGTGCGAGGGGCTTTGACATCCAGCAGGCGTGCGTCAGCGTTAGATAGGAATGGAGACGATGATTTTCATGACTTGACGTGCTGTTGGAGTGTGAGCAGAGTTACGTTTATGAAGGGATTCAAGGAAACCTACACAACCCCCACATAGTGAAGCCTACGACGACGTTTCGAGCCAAGTCCGACCGAAACGTCGTCATAAGCTCCTCTCTCCTATGTGCGGGTTGTGTGTGTATTCGAGTCACGATATTGTGCCTTTCTGTTCTTCAGAAGACGAGGGAGGATATGATCACAAAATCAATAATACTTAGAGGAACTAATTGGATAATATTTTTGTTCAATGTGACAAGAAAATATATAGAAATTTAAAAAAAAAGAGTCAAGGGGCTGTAAGGAAGTACTTTTTCAGCCTCAGGGTCGGAGGAAAGTGAACCGAACGGAATCAAGAAGTTTTGGAGGTGAACTTCATACCGAGGTTAAAAACTAGGTACGACATGACCTACGACGGTCGATTAAGCTTAAGAGGCGGGACCAGGAGCTAGGACTCGTACATACAAAAAAGCAAGATATATAAATTATATATGCAGAAAGTCTCACATATACACATACAAAACTCTCTCTCTCTCTCTCTCTCTCTCTCTCTCTCTCTTTCTCTCTCTCTCCCTATCATTCCCTCAAGTTTACCTAACAAGGGAACAAGTTAGTTACTAAGACCGGATATTAACAAGAGTCGCTATCTGAAACAAACTGACAGCCTCGACTCCCCTTTTCTGTCAGCCTCAACCCCCCTCCGTCAACATCGACGCACTCCATCAGAGTCAACCACCCCTCTGTCAGCCTCGACTCCAGCAGTCAGCTTCACCCACAGGTACTGGACATCACGGTATAAACCTTGGTAAATAGGAACCGACAAATTGGATTAGGAACACATGTGAGTAGACACTAGGACCTTGATCACATCTCAGAAGTGATCAAGGTCCCAGAACCGAATCTTTTCTGTTATAACATTTGCTAACTTATCTTTCTAAACCACTGGACATCCACACAACAGATGTAAAAGGTTTGGAGTTGAATACATGGAAGTCAATGGCATCTGACAAAGTATCACCATGGATGCTGCAAGAGGGAGCATCACCATGGATGCTGCAAGAGGAAGCATCACCATGGATGCTGCAAGAGGGAGCATCACCATGGATGCTGCAAGAGGAAGCATCACCATGGATGCTGCAAGAAGAAGCATCACCATGGATGCTGCAAGAGCATCACCATGGATGCTGCAAGAGGAAGCATCACCATGGATGCTGCAAGAGGAAGCATCACCATGGATGCTGCAAGAGGAAGCATCACCATGGATGCTGCAAGAGGGAGCATCACCATGGATGCTGCAAGAGGAATCATCACCATGGATGCTGCAAGAGGAAGCATCACCATGGATGCTGCAAGAGGAAGCATCACCATGGATGCTGCAAGAGGGAGCATCACCATGGATGCTGCAAGAGGGAGCATCACCATGGATGCTGCAAGAGGAAGCATCACCATGGATGCTGCAAGAGGAAGCATCACCATGGATGCTGCAAGAGGAAGCATCACCATGGATGCTGCAAGAGGAAGCATCACCATGGATGCTGCAAGAGGAAGCATCACCATGGATGCTGAAAGAGCATCACCATGGATGCTGCAAGAGGGAGCATCACCATGGATGCTGCAAGAGGGAGCATCACCATGGATGCTGCAAGAGGGAGCATCACCATGGATGCTGCAAGAGGGAGCATCACCATGGATGCTGCAAGAGGAAGCATCACCATGGATGCTGCAAGAGGAAGCATCACCATGGATGCTGCAAGAGGAAGCATCACCATGGATGCTGCAAGAGGAAGCATCACAATGGATGCTGCAAGAGGAAGCATCACATGGATGCTGCAAGAGGGAGCATCACCATGGATGCTGCAAGAGGGAGCATCACCATGGATGCTGCAAGAGGGAGCATCACCATGGATACTGCAAGAGGAAGCATCACCATGGATGCTGCAAGAGGAAGCATCACCATGGATGCTGCAAGAGGAAGCATCACCATGGATGCTGCAAGAGGGAGCATCACCATGGAGGCTGCAAGAGGAAGCATCACCATGGATGCTGCAAGAGGGAGCATCACCATGGATGCTGCAAGAGGGAGCATCACCATGGATGCTGCAAGAGGAAGCATCACCATGGATGCTGCAAGAGGAAGCATCATGGATGCTGCAAGAGGAAGCATCACCATGGATGCTGCAAGAGGGAGCATCACCATGGATGCTGCAAGAGGGAGAATCACCATGGATGCTGCAAGAGGAAGCATCACCATGGATGCTGCAAGAGGAAGCATCACCATGGATGCTGCAAGAGGGAGCATCACCATGGATGCTGCAAGAGGAGCATCACCATGGATGCTGCAAGAGGAAGCATCACCATGGATGCTGCAAGAGGGAGCATCACCATGGATGCTGCAAGAGGAAGCATCACCATGGATGCTGCAAGAGGAAGCATCACCATGGATGCTGCAAGAGGAAGCATCACCATGGATGCTGCAAGAGGGAGCATCACCATGGATGCTGCAAGAGGAAGCATCACCATGGATGCTGCAAGAGGGAGCATCACCATGGATGCTGCAAGAGGGAGCATCACCATGGATGCTGCAAGAGGGAAGCATCACCATGGATGCTGCAAGAGGGAGCATCACCATGGATGCTGCAAGAGGGAGCATCACCATGGATGCTGCAAGAGGAAGCATCACCATGGATGCTGCAAGAGGGAGCATCACCATGGATGCTGCAAGAGGAAGCATCACCATGGATGCTGCAAGAGGAAGCATCACCATGGATGCTGCAAGAGGAAGCATCACCATGGATGCTGCAAGAGGGAGCATCACCATGGATGCTGCAAGAGGAAGCATCACCATGGATGCTGCAAGAGGGAGCATCACCATGGATGCTGCAAGAGGGAGCATCACCATGGATGCTGCAAGAGGAAGCATCACCATGGATGCTGCAAGAGGAAGCATCACCATGGATGCTGCAAGAGGGAGCATCACCATGGATGCTGCAAGAGGAAGCATCACCATGGATGCTGCAAGAGGAAGCATCACCATGGATGCTGTAAGAGGAAGCATCACCATGGATGCTGCAAGAGGGAGCATCACCATGGATGCTGCAAGAGGAAGCATCACCATGGATGCTGCAAGAGGGAAGCATCACCATGGATGCTGCAAGAGGAAGCATCACCATGGATGCTGCAAGAGCATCACCATGGATGCTGCAAGAGGAATCACCATGGATGCTGCAAGAGGAAGCATCACCATGGATGCTGCAAGAGGAAGCATCACCATGGATGCTGCAAGAGGGAGCATCACCATGGATGCTGCAAGA